ATATATATATTTATGTATGTATGTGTGTGTGTGTGTATAAATTAATTAACCCATTGGTGTCGAGCTAATTGTGATTCACAGTGACCCTATAGGACAGAGTAGGGCTGCCCCATAGGATTTCCAAGGTTGTAATCTTTACAGAAGTAGACTGCCACATCTTTGTTCCACAGAGTGGCTGGTGGGTTTGAACTGTTGACTTTTCAGTAAGCAGTTGAGCACTTAACTTGCACCACCAGCCTTCTCTCTCCATGTATGTATGTACATATGTATGTACATATGTGTGTGTGTCTGTGTGTGTATAAGGAGACAGGTGAATTTTAAGAAATAAGCTATGAAAATGTGAAGGCTGCCAGGTCCAGAATCCATAGATCAGGCTATGGTTGGGAACTCTGGCAGTCTTTCATGTCCAAAATCAGTAGCCCAGGTGGGAGGCTGGCAGTTTGGTCGGGATGTCTATTTATAGTCTTGAGGAAGAATCCTTTTCCCATTGGCATCCTCAATTTTTGCTCTTAAAGCCTTCAACTGATTGGATGAGGCCTACCTATGTACGATATGGAGAGTAAGCTGCTTTACTTGAGGTCAGTTGATTTAAACGTTATAAACATAGGTAGTTGCCTTCGAGTCAACCCTGAGTCATGGCAGCCTTATGTACAACATAATGAAACGCTGCCCCATCCTGCATCATCCTAACAGTTGCTGACATGTTCAAGTCCATCATGTGGCTGTTGTGCCAATCTCCCCTCACCCTCACTGGCCCTCTCCTTCAGCAAGCATGATGTCCTTCTCTAGTGATTAGTTCCTCCTGATGACATGTCCAGGGCACGTGAGATTGAAGAATATTCTGTCATGTTTCACAAGGTTTTCATTGGTTGATTTCCAGAAGTAGATTGCTAGGCCTTTCTCCCTAGTGTCTTAGTCTGGAAGTGCCATTAGGGTGGAAATCTGCCCCCTATAGGTGACCCTGTTAGTATTTAAAATACTGGTAGCATAACTTCCAGTATCGCAGGAACATGAGTGCCATCACAGTACAGCAAACTGGGTTTAAATGTGATTAATATGCAAATACCTTTATAGCAACATTAGCCTAATGTATGACCAGTCAACTGGATAGCATAACCTAGTAAAGTTGATACATAACATTAACTAGTGCAGACAGGTACTTAGTCATCTCAGAAGGTGTTGAATTACTTCAGTTCCCTGACTCAAACTGGCTGAAACCACAGGAAATTTATTATTTCATGTAACAGGAAGGCCAGAGGCAGTCCTGTCTTCAATGTGGGTTGATTAAGCTGTTCAATGATGCTGTGAAAGATCTTCTCCGCTCTGCTTCCTCAGTGAATTATCTTCATGGTGGCCACATGGCTGTGGTGTTTCCAGGAACTGCATTCAGACACAGCAGTGATCAGAGAGAGCAGAGCTTTGGTGCCTTCCCTAGGCTTGCACTTGAGGAGCTGAGAAACCTTCTCCTGAAGCATCACAGAAGACTGTCTACCTCATTGGCCAAGGTTGGGTCACAGGACCATCCTTGAACCAATCATTGTTAAGGGAAGTGGAATTAGCATTAGACCTATCAGGCAGACTGGAGGCTTTAGGAGTGTGGTGGTGAGGTCAGCTTGCCCAGAGGTACACTGGGGGGGTGGAGGTGGGGAGACAGGTTCCCAAACAAAACAGATTCCCTCCCAAATGACTTTGGGGAGGAAGGAGGGGAGATAGACTCTGCACTGGCAGGCAGCTAGCAGTGTCCTCTGGCCACAGTATGTCCAGTACAAAGGACTTCTGCAATATTTATAGTGAAAGCAGAAAATAGTTAGCCACCTTAGACTCACAGTACTGCAGGGAGGGCCATTCTCTTTGGATTCAGGGTGTTATCTTTGAACAGCCTCTTTCATTTTGTTTCTTCTCCTGCACTTGGCCATTCCAGTCCTTCTCTTATAAACTAGTCATCTCACACAAATACCACTCTTGTTAGGGAATTCCATTTAAGAAAATACCATATTTGTGAATTTCCTGTTAATACAGTTCCTGTAGGAACCTATTCCCTGCCTAAAGCAAGTGTGTCAAAACTGTTTAAGAAAGAGAAAAATGTTTCTTCTGGAATTAGTCTATTTATCCATGAGACTTTTGGATAAGTCTTTATTTTCTGGTCATAAACTCCCATTTTACCCATGTGTGAACGATTGGAGAATGTCACAGTTAATTGCTATAGTTAGGTGCTGTCCGGTAGGCTGTGACTCACAGTGAACCTGTGTGTAACAAAACAAACCATAGCCTGCTTCTGTGCCAGCCTCACAATAGTAGGTGTGTTTGAGCCCATTGTTGGAACCACTGTGTCAGTCCATCTCATTGAAGGTCTTTCTCTTCTTCACTGACCCTGCACCAAACATATCCTTTTTTTTTCTCAAGACAACCTGGGAAACTTTCTTTTGAAGCTCTTCATGATTTTGGGTCTATCAGGTGATAGTGTTGACACAGACCTCAGAGAACCCAGACCCTTGCTCCTGCCCCTCCATTCCTGCCCCATCAGGTGACAGAGTGATAAGTAAGTGAGAGAGGACCAAATACTGTGTAGGCTACCAATGTCCAATCACTATTGCTGCCTTTCCGACATGGCAGCTGTTGCCTGATGATTAGTCCCCCTCAAAATTCTTTGACCTCATTGCCACTTTAAATTTAACCAAATCTATTTATATTCATCATAATTATGCAGATCTTCTCATAGCTCATTTGTATCAACAACATGGATTAAAATATTTGCTAATGAAATCCATTTCTAAAGTAAATGATGTGGCAATTTCCTATACTGAAAAAATGACTCATTAGTTATGTGAACAGTGTCTTTACAAAATTTAAGTACATACTATAAATTAGCTATAATTTTACAAAAGCAACGTAAAACCGGAAACCCTAGAGAGTCCAGAGTTCCTTGTTGTTAAGTGCTGTTGAGTCATCTGCGACTCACAGTGACCCTATGCACAGTGGAACGATCCTTGATATACCTGACCCCATCGTGGTAGCCACTGTGTCAATCCATCTTGTTGAGGGCCTTCCCCATTTTCGTTGACCCTCCACTTTGCCAAGCATGATATCCTTCTCCAGGGAATGGCCCCTTCTGACAGTGTGACCAAAGTCGGTGAGAGGAAGTCTGACCAAAGTCGGTGAGAGGAAGTCTGACCATTCTTGCTTCCAAGGAGCATTCTGGCTGCGCTTCTTCCAGGACAGATTTGTTAGTTCCTTAGGGACTATTAAATGTAACACTCTCACGACATGCTCTGTTCTGTAATGACTCCAGAGGGGCTAGGGAATAAGAAAAGAGAAGAGGAATTTAAGCAAGTTTCTGAATGAAGCAACAAGGCAAGGGGAAAACATGATCTTGTAATTATTATTCTTGTAGAGGTATCCTCTGGTGTACATAATAATAACATTGGGAAATGTGTTTTCAGATTTTTAATAAAGACCATAATGGAGCATCAGCTTAAATGGAATATTCTAAAATTTCATTTCTGTGGCCCAATGCTGTGTTAGGAGCTATGACTGTTGATCATAAATGAACAAGTCTGCATCAGAGCCAACCAGATTGGGTTCAGTCCTGGGGTTAGTAGCGTTCAGTTTGGTTCAGTCTTCCACGTCTCTGCTTCCATCTGCCATTCTGAACATTGAGAATTTATGTTCTAGTTGATCATGTCCAGAGACTTTATATCTCTTACTAAGGAAATGTTTATTCTGATTCACTGCAGTCCACTTAGGCACCTTGTAGAAAGGTGACAAACCAAGAAGTGCTGAGACACTGTGATCAGCATCACCTCAAATATGTCAGCATTCCTCATTCCTTAAACATTCTGCTTGATTGAGATTCCTCTATGAAAAATTGTTCATAAAGGGATAGATAGCCTACGACTGGTGTGTGGGGACAGCCCCTGTTTCCAGCTCTCAGACTCTCTCGTACAGCCTGCTCTCAGTGAAGCAGTAAGACTCAGGGTTCAGCACCTATATGGGCTTCAGTTTCTTCATTTGTTAATGGGAAGAATAGTACCTGCCTTACCAGGTTATTGTTAGGTTTAAATGAAGTAGAGCTGGTAGATTCCTTAGCACAGTACTGTAACTCTTAGATAGTATTGTAATTTCCAGTTGATTACTTATTTTGTGATGGTGAAGTAGGTTGCTCATTCCTAAGGAAGGCTGGGGAGCCTGATCTTAGCTTCCGTTCTTTTTCAGCCTTCTGCCAAACATTTTCATGTGGATATTTCCACTATAAGCTCAAACTCCTCCAGTCTAAACACGCACTCAATCTTCCTCTGCTCTTGCAAAGCTAGTCCTTCTGATGGTCACATGTGGTGAGTGAGGTTATCCCCCATTCTCTTTGTCACACGTCTTCTCTGACATCTTGCCGGTGATGGACAAAGCTGCTTGGTCGCTGAATCCCCCACTCCTCCAATGTCATCTGCATCTCTAGGCCTCCTTTCCTTTCCCACTGTCAGCACTTTAACTTGGTCACTGTGGGTCAGCGTAGAATTATGCTCTAGAGTTTTCAAGGGCTGATTTTCAGAAGCAGACCACCAGGACTTTCTTCTGAGGTGCCTCTGTGTTGGCTCAAAGTGCCAGCCTTTGAGCTGAATGTCAGCAGCTGAATGTGTTAACTGTTTGCAGCACACAGGGACTCTGTACCACCCATAGTATGCGCTTAATAAATATATGTTGAATAAATGAACAAGATCCGTCAAGTGTGATAATACTTGCCTGTTTATCAGTAACATGCTTTCTTATCTTAAGTGGTATTGTTTTGAGTCACAGCTAAGACTTTTGGGGACTATGTGAACAAATAACAATATAAGACTTTGATTGCTGCAACTGACCTAATGCATTTGTCTTCCCAGGTTATGATATTGCTGGGCCTGTTGCAATTGGACTCACCCACTGGAAAAATCCATATGCGCAAGGTAGACCCACCCTTCCATCAGATCTGCCTCTCTTCATCTCCAAAGATGTAGGTATCCCTGTGTATCACCGATCCTTCACCCGGAAGACTGAAGTGGCCACGCCTTTGTCTTGCCCAGCCTCACTGTCCATCACTCCAGTGCCTTCTTACAGCAGCAGCAGCCAGGAAACCCTGAGTCAAGATACAGCAGGTAACAGTGTTGGCTTCCTGTTGAGGTCTAAAGTGTAGATGCATTTTCCTGCTGAATAAATCACATGTGTGTTTCTGAATGTGTGATTCTAGATGCTCTGAAAATCCCTCACATTTACCAGCTTTAATGACTTGGTTGAACAGAAGGAAGTTTGGTTTTATTTAAAAATGTTTGACCTAAGTGTTAATTTTATCTGGTAAAACACCATCTGAATCAGAATTCCAAGATCTTCATATGACTTTTTTGTTTATTTAATTTCTTTCATTCTCTGTTTAGTGACAGACCATCTTTGTTGGATTAAACTCTTGCATCGAGGAGTGTCTGATGAGTGACAAGTAATTTGTGAATACTTTAGTTCCTACCAGTTATGCTGGTCCACCAAATTGATCTGTGATTGTTTGTAAACCACTGCCCATGGGCCATGCCTCAACTGCCGCTTTTTATTTATAGCCCAAGAGTAAGAATAGTTTTTGTATTTTTAATTGGTTGAAAAAAATAAAAGTAGAATAATTTGAGACAAGTGAAAATTTTATTGAATTCAGATTTCAGTGTTCATATATAGTTTTATTGAGACAAAGCGACACCAGTGTATTTACATATTGTCTATGGCTGCTTTGAGAAGTTGAGTAATTGCAGCAAAGACTGTATAGCCTGCAAAGCCTAAAGTATTTACAATCTGGCTTTTTATGGAAAAAGTTGATTAAGCCCTGATTTATGTGACTCTTGGGAGTCATGACTTAAACAGTCAAGGCAAGAAAAATGCAATACTTGAGTTTAAAAATGATCATTTAAATCATGATTCAAATCATTTCTAAAAGTTATATGTGTGGAAGGATGACCAGTTAGTTTTTATATCTAAAGTCTAAGTTGGAGGTTTAAATTATGCAGAATCCACCCTGCCACATTTTTATTCACTATATACAGTACTTAGAGACAATGGGTGGGCAATGGAGTCTGGTGTATAATTTGTTAGCAGTAAACCATTGAATGTCAAGATTTAATGGCAGTCAGCAGTTCACAGATGCTGCCACCTGGACATGAGAAGCTGATGTTGCAGAAGTTCTGGATTATCAAACGCAATCTCTAAAGCAGTAGATTGCAGACTTCATTAAATGTTGAGACTCACCAGTAAGCTTGTCAAGAATGAAGATTCTTGGTGATGCTATTTTGACATCAGTGAGTGAGCTTTCGCAACCTGTGTTCTGCAGGTTTCCTTTTCCCTGTGATTTGGTTCAGGAGGTCCCCATACGCTCATTGGGAGGTTGCCTCTAAAGTGTCTTTCACTTTCATTAAAGGGCTGAAGAGAAATTGAAACGGTCTTGAAAAGTGTTAGGGAACGTTGGTACACTGTCAGCTCTGCACGTGGCAAAACTTATAATCTTTCCCATTGTCCTGATTGGAGGTCCATTTGAGAGTAGAAAAATTGTGATCTGGAGTTTGAAAGTTTTTCCCTGGAGGACATTTAAAATCTCCTGGGTTTTGATTTTATCGTGAAGGAAAAGTGACTCTGCTTGCTTTAGTTTACTGAAATCTGAAGTTAAGAAATAAAGTGCTTCCTTTGGCCAAGCTGGCTGAAAGGTCATGGCATTATCTGGCCAAGAAGAGTAGGAAATGGCAGCTTTTAGATGAACATTTTATCACATTTCCCTTTGGGTTGACTTTTTTCTTTCCATAGAGCATCATGCTCAGAAGCAATCCAATTTTTGTAGGAAGTTTCTATTTATAACTTATAGGTTTCAAAAACAAAATCAAAGCCCATAACTCACTTCATTTCTGAGAATTGTCCATTAGTAATACAACACTGAATTTTTCCAACTGACTTTCTATTATTATTATTTGTATACTTAAAAAGTAAGCCTGAACATTTAAAGATATATTATACAAGTATGTGAAAGAATTTTATTATAGAAGGTTGTGGATCTGGTGTAGCTTCTGTAAATCTCAAATATGGTTGTATGTTTATATGTAAGGCTAAGGTAGTACATTTGTATGATTTCTTATAACAGCTAATTGATTTTAATATCTGTTGTATACAAAAGCTTTTAGTTTCTTCTTTTTTCTTCCTTTTTTTGTTTTAAATTTTTTACCTCTTTATAGTAGGAAAATCTGGGGTGAGAGAAATTATTTCAACTATACTGGAATGTTTTGCAAATACCAGACATTGTCAGACATTGCTTCATAATTGTAAGCAATCTTCCTTCTCCATAAGCTTCAGGTCTGATGACAAGTTTTAGGCACAAAATAATTCTACAATTATCTATTGATTGTTGAAATTTTCTTATGCTGTTTAAGAATTTCCTCATACATATATTCTTATTGTGATTTGGGTGAAAATTTACAGAGCAAATTCACTTTCCATACAGCAGTTCACATACACTTTGTCTCATGACAATGACCCAATTTACCACAATGCAACAGCTCCCCTCCTACTTCCTCCCGATAGTTACCTCTTCCCTGTGACCATCCCTCCATCCACTCCTGCCCCCTGAGCTGTCTCCCTGTGTGTAAGCAGTCCTTCTTTCTCCCATGATTGTTCTCTCCGAGGAGTGTATCTACCTCAGGTAAATGTTCAACTCATATGCCT